ACTTGTCTTGGAAAGTGCTAAGGCATTTAGATCCCCTATGACCCATTAAGAGTAAACAGATAGTTGAACTGTCAAAATTAACTTTTTAGAATTTTTGCTTCGAAGCCAGAAATATTGCTTCGAACCATTTTCGGAAAACAAAAGTCCGAGATTGATTCGAACCAAAATAAATTGGTTCGAACCCAGAACTCTGAACAAGGAGGAACATGAATTAATTCTAATTGTGGGGAAAGATTAGAAACCTTGGATTAATTTTCCTGCACACTTAACACAAAAATAGATTAAATACTTTTGAATCATGGTTTTAAACCATCATCAAAAAAACAAAGAGAACCTAACACAACTAATTTTAAATCCACTAAGATTTGGTCTCAACCCATGTGGCCTTGGGTCCAGCATTTGGAGATGGTTAAATACCCTTTTTGGTCCCTCTACTATAGGAAAAAGCCCCTTTTTAGTCCCTGTACCAAAAAAATCCTTTTTTTGGTCCTTACTGTTCACAAATCCGGCCCCTTTTTAGTTCATCCGTTAAATTTTAACTGATGTGGCAGGTTAATTAACGGAAAATTTTTTTTTTTTTACCATTTTACTAAATTACGTGGAAAATTCATTTGGCAAAAATGGATGATGTGATTAAATTTTTTACATTTAATTACTGATTTACCCTCATCTTTTTTCCCATCCTCTTCTTCCTCTGGCTTTTTTTTTTTTTTTTTTCCTTTGGGTTCGCTCTGGCCTTTTTTTTTTTCTCTTTTTTTTCTTTAGCTCTAGGCGAACCCAGGAGCCTGGGTTCGCGAGGAACCCAGGAGCCTGGGTTTGCGAGGAACCCAGTTCGCAGGTTCCCAACGAACCTAGGAGCCTGGGTTCGTGAGGAACCCAGCTCGTGGGTTCCTAACGAACCCAACCCAGCTCGTGCTGTCCTTAATTTCCACAGATTGAGTTGAGTTCTTTACTATTTTAAGGTTATTGACTCAACAGATTGCTCAGATCTACGCGATGGAGTTTTCACGGTTGTTTACTTCCCGGTGCTAAACTGGTTTCTCGTACTAGCTCAGGCTCACTCCCCCGAGGTTTGATTCTTGATTTCTTTAGCTTCATTGTTAAGCTTGTTTGGTGTAAATTTGAATATGTTAATTCAGGAAGTTGGCAATTGATTTGTTTCCTGTGATGAGGTGGTGTTCTTGATGAGGTGGTGTTAATTCAGGAAGGTTCATTGTAAATGTTCGATGTAGACGAGAACCCAAGCCCACCTGGGTTTGTCGTGAACTCAGGACGAACCCACCCAGGTTGCGCTGGGTTCGTCGGGAACCCAGGCACGAGCTGGGTTGGTCCTGGGTTCGTGAAGAACCTAGCGTGCACCTGGGTTCGTCAAGAACCCAAGATGAATCCACCCAAGCCTGGGTTCTTCACGAATGCATCAACAATGAATCCAGGTCACACCTGGGTTTGCGACCTGGATTGGAGCTGGGTTTGCCTGGAGGTAAAAGAAAAAAAAAAAAAACCCAGAGGAAGGAGAGGATGGGGAAGATGGGGGTAAATGAGTACTTTTTTCTTTTTTCGTGCTGGGAGAGTGATGTGGAGGGAGACGTGGAGGGTATCATTAAATCCACGTAAGCAGCTTTTACATATTGGCATACCCACGTCAGCTGTTCCAGTTAAGTTAACGTGACATGTGAGCAAAATTTAACGGAGGGATTAAAAAGGGGCCGGATTTGTGAACAGTAAGGACCAAAAA